AGTAAGCTCAACAATTATGAAACGAGCGATTCCTCTTCTTGGCAAATGTGACTTTTCAGCTCCAATTAATCAGAGTCAGCTCTACCGGTTTCGTACATATACGCACACCTGATGGCACATAAACACACAGACAGACACACTCACATGCTTCGAGGCTGACATTTGACGTGAACGAACAGAATCCTTTTACTTTTGTCATTTACAGCATTTGGGGATGAGCCGGTTTTGAATATTTTCTTGACTCGTCAGCTCGAGTATGATTAAAAATATGATACCTCGCTGTGATGATGTCCGTGTGTTGATGACGGACAAACAGGTTCCTGTAGGGTCGTCTTCGAAGTTTCACCTTCATCAAAAACCCTTTCAATTTAACTGGAACCATTCTCAACCACCGGTCCTTCACTACCTCAAACCAAATAGGCTGAATGCAACTCTTTTGACCAAATCATAAAACCAAAGTCATCTGATTGTCTGGCTCCTTGCCATCATTACGAGCCACCGAGACTATTCGTACTTCTTGAAGAAGAACCTACTTATTGTTGTGGAAGCTCTCAGATTGCACACAAGTGTGCATGATGAAAAGATTGGTAATTATATTTCTCCAGAAGATAACGGTTGAGTCCCGTCCACCGAATCTCTTCATCCGACATGTTCACACGAAATCTAAGTCTCCATAACAACAGTATCCCTTGATATTCTTCGAAACTCAATCATTTCTCGTATAAACAACCTAAGATTAATTATTCACTTTTCCCATGCTGTCATTATTGTATTTCACACTTGTCTCTTCTGGGCATGGACTGTAGCTTCGACCTCGTATGAACTGGTTTCACCAGCCCCTCAACAAAACTCGAGCAAACCTCACTTGCGGCGATACAAATATTCTAGTGCTTGCCATTGCAGTCGACTACATTACTTATTTGTGATTTAAGTAGTAGGTCTCAGGATGCTGTTACATTTCATATTTTGCCCGCCCTCCGAAGAGGGTTATCTTGTCCAGGCTCGACCGGACCACAGTTAAGGCCCCCAGTAAACAATAGATAATGTTACCTACTCCGGAAACACACTGAAACCAACTAATGTCGTCGATTCTACATTTTTGTTCATTTAATAATCCAACTTTAAATGTGTAATTGATGTTTAAGTAATCACCACACTTCATGATTCCATTGACTTTCACATTTAGCCTTGCTTCACATAAGACTTTCTTCTACATACTCGCCCCATCCGCTAATCAATGACCACAACGGGATTCGAAGTCTGGTTCTATTAATTTGATTCTTTTTTAGGATACCAACAAGGCAATTTCAGCATAAGAGAATAGCGTGTAAAACCGCAAAATAGGGGTTTAGTTACGAGAAAAGTTAAAGTAGCGTGAGCTATCAGAACCAAGAGAAATTTGCGAATAAAAAATCTTGTTACTATTATATATTTATGCGTTAAAATAGAGCAAAATATACATTTTTTTCTTAACTTTAATGCCGACGTAAGTACTTAACCACCACTGCGTAGTATAGAGTCTTTAGGGACCGATAATGCAATTTTCGCCCCACCTTTCTTACCTAATTTCACTTAATTTAGCCTCCTACAACGTTGAGGTTTACCTCGATTTCCAGCCCGACCGCATCTCACCAATCCCAACAACAGGATTCGAAGCCAAGTCCCTCCAGCTCAGGCTTCACTCATCCATTTGCCTTCATTGTTGTCTATGCTACTTATATTCCGTGTGAGTAGTAATGGGAATGACAGTTTCGAAATATCCACCCCGTAGACGGGGGATGCTGTTAATTTGACCTCGTTTTCGTTACTTAGTTGCCTCACCATTGTTGTCATGGCTTCTGTGGGCCAAAATGCGTTGTTTTGGCCGAAAATTGTCTGTGACCTCTGTGTTTTTCGCAGCCCCGTCACGCCGAATGGCGTCGGTTTGACCTCGTGTCGGCAATTTGGTCAGAAACGACCTTGCTCGAGCAGCCCATAACTTCGTCGTCGACTACCCAAGTCACGATAACTGCCAACAGACTGCTCCAGAAGTGAGAGGCAGCATCTTTTTGGCGTCGAGCGGC